AAAAGTTTTTAAAGAAAACTGACCTAAAACTCATTTCACAATCTTTATTGTCGATTTTGTGATGGAAAATCTTCTTGAGTTTATTGTTTAATAAGAGAGGTCAAATAGTTGTCAATAATGTACCACTTGTATATGTTAAGTGGTGTCTAATGCATTAAAACCAAATATTGTTAGTAATTCAACTCCAACGCGGTGGATGTGCATAACTATTCATATTGTGTATGCGTTTCCCACTTGTTCAAGAGTCTCATATTTAGTGACGGAGTCACGAATTAAATCTAGTGGGATGGATGTGTGTAGTTGTTCATATTGTGTATTTGTTTCTCAATTGTTGATCAATGAGTCTCATATTTAGTGACGGAGTCACGAATTAAATCTAGTGGGATGGATGTGTATAGTTGTTCATATTGTGTATTTGTTTCTCAATTGTTGATCAATGAGTCTCATATTTAGCGACGGAGTCACGAATTAAGTCTAGTGGGAGTAGAAATTAACTATGGGAATTTATTTCAAACAAAACAATACAAACTAAAATTAAAACTATAGCAAATTTTATACAATTGTTCTCTTTGAATTTTCATACTTTGAAAATGCCTATATGACATCGTTTTCAACTTTATCAATTACATCTTTTTCAACATAAACAATCAAGCTGTCATGCATCTGTTGACCTCAAATTAACCATACATGCTTTAAATTATGCATATATCCACTCAAATTAAGAAAATTAAATTCATATTAAATATAAACACATTAAACCCCTGTTCGGTTCAAATAATAATCGATTTTTTAGTAGATTTTGATGAAAATTGATAAAAGATGTGATTGAAAAGTTGTGAATCCTATAAAATGTCAAAATAGCTAGCTCACTTTTCTATTTTTATTTTTTTACTTGAAAATAGTTAATTATCTGAATGTAAAACAATATTATGCTGCTTTATATTAATAAATCATCTTTAATATTATGTATCAAACGTGCCCAGAATAACTTATGCCATTCTTGGTAACGAGTAGTAAATAGGAAGCTTTGGACGTTAACAACTTTAGAATTTTATTTGTCTCTCTTAAAAGAGATGTATGGCTTCCAGATGTAGATATACATGCATGGAAATACATTGGTTTCCCGCGTTTTCCACATGCAATCTCAATTACCTAACTCAATGCGTGTAAGCTATTTCTCATATAGTCGCCGCCACCACATTATTTTCTTGGTCCCTTAACTGTTTCATTTCTCTTTAAGCTTCTTCATTCCTCATCTCTCTTCCTCTCAATATATACTTACATTTTTTTTTTCTGTTCCTTATATTTCCAAGGGCTTGATACCTTAGTCGACGAATTCTTGCTTGTCATCGCCACGAATTCTATAAGTAAGCACCAATTCAGATTCTTTCTCTTGTTAACTTTTGTGTTTTTCTCGAGCTTATCTCCTAGAAATCTATGAAGTAGGGTTTTACTTTAATGGATTGAATTACTTCTGCAAACTTTTGTGTACAATTGTGCACGCAATTATTCTCTTATAAGATTTCCTTCTTCAAAATTTTCACACTTTCTGTTAAAGCAGGAACCTTTTTTTGAAGCAAGCAGATAAAAGAAAATTATGTCGATTTCTCAATTTTATTTTATTTTTTGGTTCAATTTGTGCAGATCGAGCCGGACGGTCTCTGTAGACAACACGTTTGCTATCTTTAAAAATAGTTGTAGAGTGCAAGCAATATAGATCTGAATAGGCACATTAATGGGAAGTCACGTGAGCAAGAATAAGCCTGGTGAAACTTCAGGCACAGTCAACAATCTACAATACACACCTGAGCTGAATTCCTATGAAGCTGCCTGCAGGGTTGATGCAGATTTGCAATCCTTTGATACGACTCTCCAAGAACGAACCAATAACGTTATCAATTCTCTAGCTGTCGGGGTAGAAGTTCGAGCTCTATCTGTGGATTCTTTGAAGGATGTGACGGAGTGTTTGCTGGAGATGAATCAGGAGGTTGTTAAGGTAATCTTGGAGTGCAAGAAAGACATATGGAAGAATCAAGAATTGTTTGAACTAGTCGAGGACTACTTCGAGAATAGCTTGAATACTTTAGACTTCTGTTCGGCATTGGAGAAGTGCCTAAAGCGTGCTCGTGATAGCCAATTACTTATTCATGTCGCGCTTCACCAGTTTGAAGACGAGGATAATCCAACGGGAGGAAATAGGTACTATTAAACTACCTCACCTAGCTTCTACTGTAGTTGATTTCTTTTCATCTTTCATCGTGATACGGTGTCCCTATTTGAGGGGCATTATTTGGCTCATTAAAATGAAAATTCTAGCCGTTATTGGAATAGTTGGACCTCACACCAGAAATGAGAAATCAAAAAAAGCCACATGATGTGATGGTTAACTATAAAAATTTTCATTTTTTGGCCAAATAATGTGCCTCAAACAGGGGCTATATTTGTTTGCGAGAATGCTACACGTACACCCAAGTCTACCACTTGAGTGACAGAGTGTAGAGGTGGCATTTCTTCATTGACAGATGGAACTTTGTTTTCTTGTCCACCAGGTAATGAAGAAATGGCACATCTGAATTCTGTCGCCCAGGTGATAAATCTTTGTTTGCAGTGATAACATGGTATATCGTTAACTAAACTATGTCAACGATACAATGTCCTTGTTGACAATCCTTGACTCTGCACTCAAGAATTGAAGTCTCATAATAATTGTTAGTAGACTTTTTCTCTTGCGTGCATTTCATTATAGCTCTATTATTTGAACTACAGGAGACATTTATTTATTTACAGAAAGGTTGTCTTCAACATGCACTTCACTGTCTTCACATATACATTGAAATCATTTTTCGGAAGGCCTGAAGCCTACACAATCTTTGTACATGGGTGACGTAGGTGGAGACTTGAATTCAATATATTTTGTCTAGCTTTACTTAACACATTATCAAAAAGTTTAAATTGTTGAACACGGAAGACATTTATTTATTGAAGTTTGTCTTTAACAGATACACTAGAACATTGGAAGAGTTGAAGAATTTCAAAGCGGCTGGTGACCCGTTTACCGAAGAGTTCTTCGTAAATTTTCAGGCTGTCTATAGACAACAAATATTGATGCTTGAGAAATTGCAACTTCGAAAGAACAAGCTCGACAAGAAGCTAAAATACATACACGCTTGGAGAAAGGTCTCGAGTATTATCTTTGCTGCTTCATTTGCGGCTGTGCTAATTTGCTCGGTGGTGGCTGCCGCCATGGCTGCACCGCCTGTGGCAGCTGCTCTTGCTGCAGCAACTTCCATTCCATTGGGATCAATGGGAAAGTGGATTAATTCCCTTCTAAAGAACTATGAAAAAGCTATCAAAGGACAAAAGGAGATAATTAACTGTATGAATGTTGGCACTTATGTCACTATCAAAGACTTGGATAGTATTCGGGTACTTATTGATAAATTGGAGACTGAGATCGAATCACTCTTAAAGAATGCTGATTTGGCTATCAACGAAGAGGCCGTGAAACTTGGCGTAGAAGAAATCAAGAAGAAACTCGATGGATTCATGAAAAATATCGAGGATTTAGGGGTTCAAGTTGATGTCTGCAGCCGTGACATTCGCCGCGCTAGAACTGTTATTTTGCAACGGATTATCAAACACCCCAACCATTGAGGATACGAAGATTTCTTCAGGATTTCGTATAGTATCTATAGCAAGTGTGACCAACATCTTAGTCTAAACCTCGATCAACTAGTGCGGAAGAATTAATGTTTATGTCGTATGATGCCATATGATTGGATTGTTAATTTTATTCTTTTATTATTTTGATTGTTTATTGATCATAATATTGCTAATCATTTAATTTCTAATGTATTTAATTGACTGCTATCTTCATGGCTTCTCTATTTTCTTGCCATAATTTAGCAGCGCTTTGTATTAGCAGCTTTTGATTGTTGTATTTGTGTTGAAAAACTGAAGGAAGTGTTTTATTTCAACAACTGCTTTCTGTTTAAAGTTGCATATGCACAGACATGGATGTCGACAAAGACACGACATGGACACAACAATATTTAATTTTACCGAAAAGTAAGATAAAGACAAGTCGATTTAAGTTCTTTAGTATTTTTTTAAATTTATTTTTATTTCTTTATTATTTTTTAAATTTTTTTTTTTTTTTTTTTGCTTTTTAGTATAGAGCACGACATGTATATTATCCGATCATATCATGTTGTGTCCAGCACAAGAAAATATGCATCGTACATGAATATGCCTCTCTAGTATAAGGATTTGTATATCACATGTTTAGAGATGATTATTTAAACACCCTTATCAGGTACATAAACAATCGTTAAGACATATTGTCATCTCCAAAATCTTAGAGACACTTATATTAATGTTTGCTATGATGTACAATATAGGGAAAATATATTTAGCCCCAATTTGTTAAATTTTTAGTAGATTTTGATAAAAATTGTTGAAATGTGTGGTTCAAAAGTCGTGAGACATAGATCTACACCATTAAATTAGATCAATTTAAGAGTTAAGATTATTTGTTAAATACACTTGTCAAATACCTTTGTCCATTGAATGCTCTCCTTTAAAAAGATCCACAATTTTTATTAACTTTTCAATTATATATTTTATCAATTTTTACGAAAAATCTACTAAAAAAATGATTTTTAGCAAAACCGAACGGGGACTAAATTTTCACTACAAAACAAGCTATAGTGCATAAGCAAAATGAGTACCAAAAACAATACTACCTCATTTTGGTGCTATCTATGTCAGTTATTGAACATGTTTTTGTGGAATTAGGCTTGAACCTACCTCGTGATTTAAAATGGGCTTGGAAGCCCATTCCATTTACGTGTTCCAAATGCCACACTCCATACACAATTCATCTATATCTATTTCTACACTACCACATTTCAACCAAAGTACTCTTGCTTACTTTTTCTCTCTAGATTTTACCCATTATTCTCGGAAAAATGTTCTCTCAAAAAGCCCTAATTTGTTCTCATAAATCGGGATATTGACATTGACTTTATGTGTGGCTTCATCTTAGTACATTAAGACGCTGGAGGAAAGGCCAAAAGTGCGAGTAATGGGAAGCCCATAAAGCAGCATTTCAAGCAATTATTAGGCTGCCTTCTGGAGAGCTTGTTATAGGTGGTGTAACGACCCAAGCTTCATGTCCAAACTATTAAAGAAAATGTCATGGGTTCAAATTTTGAGGACATGATAGAAATTCGTGAAAAGTAAAATGGATTTAGATTCTCTCAAAGCGTACAGTACATATAATATAATAACTTGGGCACGACACACGTGTCGTTAAAAAAAAAAAAAAACATGCGTTTTTTTTTTTGGAAGCAATATTTCTTGGATAAGCTTTAAAGAAATTGTTTGACTTGGCACTTCACACTTCACTTGATCCTAATGTTGCTTGACTGGCGTACAAATTCATCATGCAAGATATGATATTCAATGTGGCGACAAGGGAAAGACTAATGCCTTTGTTTACCGTGTCAATTGTCTCGACTATGTTGTGCATTGATAAATTGCATTGCTATTTTTAGAAATGGCAATAATACCAATCAAATTCGATACCTGCAAAGAGCCGCCTCGAGCGGGACGGGGATTACCACTTAATCGGTAATCGGGTGTGTAGGGGAAGGGAGATTTCATCACTAGGCGGGTCTGGGGCGGGTATGGGTATGGGTAACAGGATCCCTGCCCCGTTTAATTTTTAATTTTTTTAAAAAAAATTCAATATTTTAGGCCCTTGTTTGGTTCACATTATTTTTAAAATAATTTTTCTTTTTCTTCTTTTTTACCACACATTTTTTTAGTAAAATAATATTACATGTAAATTCAAAATTTTCATTATTTTTTAACCACACATTCTCCATCAATCTATTATTCTAAAATGCATTATTAGAAAATAATAGGGCTCAAACAGGCCTTAATAGAAAAACTTCATGAAATTTCATTAATTCTAATAAAAGATGGTAACTAAAATCATAAGGAATATAACAAACAGTAAAAACAGTAGTTTACCAAATATATTTGAATGATTTAACTTTTAAAAATAAATTAATTAATTAAAAATTTAATAACTATATTATTGTCTTACTTGAATGGATGGAAGTATTAAAATGAATTATCAAGAAAAAAAATTAAACGGGTATGTCAACGAGACATTCATCCCTACCCGCCCTGCCCCACCTTAAACGGGTAATGGGACGAGGGAGCCTGAACCCACCTCATTGCCATCTCTAGCTATTTTCTTTGTTTATTGTTCAACTTATTTTGCAAGCTCATTCTCTCCCCCTCTCTATGTTGTCAATGCATATGAATTGTTTCCATGTTGGAGCTAAGTTAGTTTTTTCTTCAGCTACTGCATGTTGTTAGTCACTTGTTTATTAGGTTTGTGATGACTGCGATACAACACTGCAACAAAAATTTGCTCACCAAAATAGTGATGCTGTCACATACAACAAAGAGGATCATATAGTTTCGGAAGATATCAAAGTGTTGTTTGGAGAAGAAGTGTAATATTAACGTTGGCATTTGAGACGAAAAGGAATGCCAAAATTGGCTTGGCTTGGCTCCATTTTACAAAGATTGGCTTGGCTGAATGTAGTGGTGTTAGCGAGTCAAGCTAGCTCGTTAGCCAAAATTCAAGGCTTGGGCTCATCTCGAGTAAAATGGTTCGAGTTTTTTGCGAGCCCGAATCGAGCCGAGCAAAAGCTCGACCAAGTAATCAAGGTTCAGCTCGGGCCTTACTGGCCGAGCCGGGCAGGCTCCATTTTTTTTAATAAAATAAAAGGCAGATGAGAAAAGGCAACCGAATGCTGCCTTTTTAAAGCAGCAAACCTACTGCCTGTTTTAGCAGCATGTTGCTGCCTTTAAACCTTCTTTTTCTTATTTATTTATTTTTTTAAAATTAGGTCTGTGAACCCGAGCCGTCAAGCCACACAAGGCCAGCTTGAGTTCGGCTCGACACCCCAAGATAGGACTCGACCCGAGCCTTGAACCAAGACAACTCGATCTTTTTTCCGGCCGAGCCACGGCCAATGAGCCCAATTGCGACCCCTAGCTGAATGTGACACTAATAGGCCTACAATAATCTACAATCATACAAGGATGAAGAAGGGGAATGCGGATGCAGCTAAAGCAACATATTAATGCCTTTTCTATTAAAACTAGTTTGTCAACAAGGGTGGTTTACAAATAAATGTGTTTGGGGGAAATCATTCACATGTCTGGAGTCTTGTGAGGAGAGTTTCAGGCCTCTCGAACGCCTTGGAGATTTGTTTTTCATATTACTCATCTCAAAAATAATATTACAGAAACTTGCCTCAATTTCAGATTGCATACTTAATTCTTCTACCTTCCCCACATCCTACATCTATGGCTATTACATAATCACCCATTCTCTGCTTTGTGGTAATTCCACGAAGCTATAAGTTTACCAGCAACGATAGGAGGATTCTTCTATCACTCACAACAGCAGGATCTGATTCAATAGTGAGCCAGCAGCCTTAGCTAAGGTCTCAGAACATTGCAACTGTAGTTAGCAGGGCCGGTCCTGTGACTGCCGGGGCCCAAGATAAAATCCATAAATTAGACTCCCAACGAAATCAATGTAAATCTAAAATTCAACAGAGTATTATGCAACCCATTGCTAACTTAAAACTAAGTTTAAAACAACAACCAAATATATTATAAACTAACAAAATCAATAATGTTTCAACTTTCAAACAATTAGTTAAATACTATTCGTCTTACTATTTTAGAGGAAAAAACATCAATCAAATCTGAATAATTTAGCTGCTCAATAATTTCTCTCTATTGAGAACATAGCCAACCCGTTTAATCTTTCTTGTGACACAGTTGATCGGAGATATGTCTTGATCAACTTCAATTTCAAGAAATTTCTTTCTACAAATGCAACTGTAACCAGTATGGTTAACAAAATTTTGTAAGCAATATAAGCATTTGTAAAACAAACATTCAATGTCTTCAAATATTGTAGTACTTCAATTGTCTTGTTGTTTCACTTGGTATACAACACCTCAAGACTTGTAACTCCAAACATAATTCATCTCCACCAATGTTCGAATGCCTATTATGTTCAAGATATTTCTCAAGATTCATACAAGAGTTCAACAAACTTGAAAAAATTGCATTCCTTAACCTCTTCAAATTAAACAAAAATCCAAATGTGTCATCATATTGTTTGAATTATTCAAATCATGTCTTCGGAGAAGATAGAGCTTGATCAATTATAAAAATAAAGTACTCAACTCTGAAAGATTCTTCTACTGATTGCTTTACCTCATCACTACCCCCTTTCATCAAATTGCTTCTTTCTTCGTATTGTGCATTTTTCTATAAATACAATTTCAATTTCCATTTCATTTGTCTTTTTTGTCGCTTCATCCATGGTAATAGCAAATCCAATTTCTCTATAATCCTCAAGAAATGAAATAAGTCATTGCAAGAGGTCGATAGCATGACACGATTCAATTTGAAGAAATTTACTCACAATATTGACTGCGTACAACAACTCGTACCAGATTACCATGCTAAGCAAGAACTCAAAATTCTGAAGTTCATGTGTTGCTAACGACTCGACTTCACTCCTCACTTTAGGATCTTCATTAATTTCTACCAAATCAAGTAATGCATCTCTTAATTGTACAATTTGTTTCATTATAGGCTTCACACTCTCAACATAACTTTTCCAATGTATTTGTGACAATGGTTTCACTGTCAATCCTTGTACATTATCTTTGAAAATTTTCCGTCGCTGGGTAGAAGAGAAAAACAATGTGTAAATACGTTGTATCACTCCGAAGGATACAGTTTTGGAAAAACAATTCATCATATTACACAATACTAGATTTAGACTATGAGCACCACATGGAGTATAAAAGGCTAGAGGATTCATTTCATGTATTCTTCTTTGCACATTTTTGTGCTTTCCGCTCATGTTAGATCCATTGTGATACTCTTGCCCTCAAATGTCATCAATATCCAGATCGAGTTTGATCAAAACCTTTTGAAGCTCGATTCCAAGTCTTATTGTGTCATCTACTTTCAAAAATTCAAGCCAATGTTCTTCAATTGTAGGTAAGTTTGTCGAATCATCAATAAATTGTACTATTAAAAACATTTGCTCCTCGTGACTTGCATCTGGAGTACGATCGAGTATAATTGCAAAATATTTTGCATATTTAACTTTCTTAACAATTGAACTTCTCACCTCATTAGCCAACGATTGTATCAACTCATTTTGGATTTTTTTGTCAAGATACGTATATTGAATCTCTCTTACTCGAAGGTACTCTTGCATTACTAGATCAAACTCACTAACCATTTCCATAATTTGTAAAAAGAGGCCATTGTTCTCAACATGTAGCCTCTCATCATCTCTTCGAAATGGCAAGGTATTTTTCAGTAGTCTTTTCACGGTAGCAATTATCTTTGCTAATACGTCTCCAATGTTATCGATCAACAATTCAACACTTTTATCAATTGCGATTTTTGTTTGAAGCCTATTTTTCAATTCAATCCAACTAGTTTTGCAATGTAAATGCTCCTCATTTCTTTCATGACTTTTAATAGACCGAAGCGAATTATGTTAATCTTTAAATCCATCATTATCTAGTTGGCCAATTTTGGTCACATTTTTTGGTGTTTTAAACAATTTGCAGCAAAAGCAGAAGATCTTGTCCATAGATACTGAATATACTAGCCATTTCTATGAATTGTTTGCCCTTTTGGTAGCAATCGCTTATATTGTGAAGAATCGAAATGTCTATTTGTACAATCTTTCGAAAACGAGATATCATCAACTCTTTTTGGACCCCTTTCAACTATGTAATCCCTTGTTCTTTGATCAATAATTTTTCAATTCTCGGGATCATCCAAATTTAGAGAAAAGCAACCATCTTCTTCTTTATCATCTTCTTCATTATTACAGGCACGTTTCATCACTTATTCTTCCTTTTCTACTTATTTAACATAGGCAAGCCGACTCACTTCTTAATCCTTATCATCTACTTCATTAACATGGGCAAATTGAATCTCTACTCTATCCTCATTCAATGCATTCGCATTATTTCTTAGAAATACTTATCAATATCCCCTGCTTGATTTTGAATTAATGCAATTTCATTTCATTTCTTTTTACTCTTTTGAGCACCAGACTCATATTTATGAGGCATTGTGTACAAGTCTATATCTAATAGCCAATGATTAATCTAAAAAAATCACAAAATATCTCAATTATCTCATAATTACAGTTTTCAATATAGTTACTACATGCTCTTATGCAATTATTCATCCTATAATAACCAATCACATAAGTTGATCACGCAGCAATTATATAAGCTGACAAGGTTTCAAACATTTCAATGTCTTCAATAACAAGTTAGGGCAAGTCATTGCTTACCTGAGAAGTGAAATTTCGACGAAAATTGTGGAATTACACAGTGAGAATTCCACCGTCACGACTCACGAGCCTGAAATAAAAATGTATATAAAATTATGATACTTTAACTCACACATTATCAAATTAAAGTGAAATTAATTTTAGGGCATTGTTGCATTGTAAGAAGTTACCCATGTCAATTCCTTCAATTAAGTTATCAAATTCATTTCTGATGCAAAATGGAGTTAAGCTATAATTATTTAAATATCTAAGTTATTTATTATTAAAAAAATTCATATTGATACTAATTATTTTACATTTTTCAAGTTTAATTAAACGCGACAACTTACATATGAGCTATTGGCTTGAATAAATTCTTGAAATACATGATCCAATCTCATCGGTTCTGCTATACTTTAAGGGCCTGAAAATGTTAATTTGGATAGGGTAATACCGTAATAGGAACCAAAGTCTTTTATCAATTAAAAATCAAATCTATGAAACCCCTCAAAATTCCAAAAGAAGTGCAATTATCGTTTTGGCAATCAATGCCCAATATCAACGAGTACCAAGAGCTGGTTCAACATTTGATTCTCTAATTTACTTTGCTCTAAAATTCTCAATCTAATAAAAATTCTAACCCCAACGGAGGTGGAGCGGACTGGTAAAGTGATCAGACACGCGAAGACGAGACTTCGATCGATGAGCTGGCACTACAAGCCCTGGGATTGAATTCCAGATTTGGGAATTTTGGGTAAATGGATTGTGGATAGATGGATATATAAATTGGGTTGGGTAAATAGATTTAGAGTAAGTAGATTGTGGGAACCAGAGTACGAAGTGGTCGACGGTGGATTGGTGGAGTGACTAGACTCGCGGAGACGAGACTTCGACAACGAGCAAGCCCTGAATTGAATTTTAGATTTTGGAAATTTTGTAAATGGATTGTGAATATTGGATATATAAGTTAGGTTGGGTAAATTGATTGTGTGCTATTGTTCAGTTGTTGGATAATTGGTTTTGGGCAGACTTAACTAGTTTTAAAAAAATAATAATAAAAAAGGGGGGGGGGGAGGGGGGGGGCAAATTAGGCCCCCTATGGTACGCCTTAGGCCCGCCCCTGGTAGTCAGGTACATTACATATCAAACTTGTATTAGAGCATTGATGCAGGGAGAAAGATGATAGAGTAAACAATTTGGAAAAATGGATGGATAGGATGAATTTGGAGATTTAGGTGAGGATGGGAACAATGAAGTTTGAATTCCAAAGGGATACATCACCGGTAAAGAATTCTAGTAGCACGATGCGTTACTAGACATGAATTTCTTAATGTACCAAAAAAAAAAAATTTAATATAATGACATGGTCATTTAGAACCTTTAATGAAAGATAAATTTAATTATTAAAATATGCTGAACATTTTAAGATCATATCGTGCATCAAAATATTAATAAAACTTTTTACATGAAATTGAAATTGGACTAATTAAAATCATAATGGTACTTGTAGCGGAAATCCCTCGATAAATCTTGATTTTGGGCTCAGAAAACAATCAAACGAACACCGATTTACCTTGGCTCGACCCGAGACTTTCACCTTCACTTTGGACTGCTCTCTTTCTTTCTATCCCCACAAAGGAGAAGGGTGGTGGTGTTAGCAATCCACAAAGGTATGGGGAGGAAGAAGAACACTGGTTGAATCTTACTCACAACCTCACATGGCTTCCCTCTCTCTTGGTTGCCTCTCTTCTCTCAACTCTCATCTCCATTGCTACAACACACACACCACCACAAAAACGGCCGGGAGATAAATACATATATATAGGTTAGTTTAGGTCACTCTAATTGGGCCTAGGGTTCACTAAGCAGGCTACCAATTAACCTAAACTAATGGGCCAATATTCAACTCCATATTAATTACTAAATGGTCCAACTAACCAAATAATCATCCAACCCAAACCCGAACCATCCAAAAGTGTAGTTCATCTCCGAGTCGAGCCAAGTCCATGGTGTCGATAAATAATCCGACAACTGTTTTAAATCATCGTCCGAAATATTGGGTATCAAAAAACCAAACAATCTCCACCTTGATGCCCAATAATCTGCAAGCTACCAAAACACACAGTTTATACTTGCACAATCAAGGTAATCCTATAAAATTGGAATAATAGACCTTACCTCGTGTTTCCAACTTGAAACATATACGATACTTACTCCATGTACTCACCAGGGCTAAAGTCAAGAATACCCAAGTAGAAACAAGTATTCACAGTGAACAAATAATCATGCGATGAAGATATATATAGGATAACACACACAGATCTTTTCAAAATCACGTTCACACAGAATCACAGATTAACACCTAGTTAATCACACTACGGTCAACCACATATGCAACACATGCATAAATGACCCTAAGAAAAGATCTCACCACACTTATCCTATCCCATTCCGTGTTACTCCCACCTCGAGAACACATATCTCCTCTCATCGCCCACCATGCTCACTAAACCAATCACTTAACTCATGTCTATCTGGCAAGTCACAATAGATCCTAAACTCTCGAGATAATCTTCTATCACCACATCACTTCTCCCAACCTACGTGGATAATGGGACTCCACCTTACAGAAGTGATAGAAGTGCCTCTCTCACACTCCACTTGTACAGGGTCTCTTTCACAGATAAAGGATTCTACACATTTGATCACATCTCCACTCGTGATCCAAATGTCACACTCTACATCCCTCGTGCATATCACCAATGCACCTCTAGGCATCTATACTCCACCTTACCAAAAGACATCCAACTCACTGCTAATGCATCTCAAACTCACTATGGCAAATCAACACCTTTCGGTGATCACAAAGGTTAATCCACTCACCAATGCTCCCAAAAATTCACAAAGAAAATTGTGAAGGTGGCACTCTCAAAGAGAATCGAAGAAAGAGTCGGTTACTTCACAACACTCACAAAGGAGGCTCACAAAGATAAAGAAAGTAACTTTAACATGGTTGCCTCACATAATCTCACAAACCACACAGGCTCACAAAGATAAAGGAGAGAAACGGCTACCCAACTTTCTTCTCACTACCACACTCTCACACTATTCACAGAGCAAATAGAGTACGCCACAAAACTTAACCCACTATGCATGAAAACATATTACACAAAGTAATAAGTCACTCTAATTCATGCAATTACACACATCAAACATATTGAAAGTGTAAAATCAACATTGCAACAGAATTGAGTGATCACATATATGCAGAAAGGATTACACACAGATGCAATGTAGTAATCATGTTTATTCTCTCAATAAACATCACTAGGATCACTACTCGACCCTAAAGTCACATTCGCCTTGTCTCTATCCTCATCTTTCCTTTTATTATCATCTTAGGACAATCTCTTTCAACTATGTCCAAATTTTACCACAGTTAAAATATATGTTATTTTTCGCACTTATCTTAGACCTACATTTGCCACCAATGCCAAATAATAACCACAAGTAAAGTATGAACATAATTTACATAGAATAGTCCAATAAACTTTCCTAAGGCCACATGCAATTCTAATAATGTAGAAAAATTGACAGTAAATTCACAAAGAATTTAAGGCAAATAATTAACAAATAATTCTTAGGTCTAGTAGCAGGCAATGGTTACCCCTTCATGGTAACCCCAAACCTAATGTCACCCCACGCGATGACCTCTAATGCAAAAAATAAATTACTCTACAAATTTATTTCAACTGCAATAATAAAAAGCAAAGAATACGATACCGAGCGGACCACTTCTGAAGGTCCGTAAATATCGAGAGACGCGAATTCACCACTTCAGGACTATCACTCTTCATCCTAAAGTCAACAGCAACCACAGCAACACGAAAACAGCATCCGGCACCCGAACGTCCAAGGGCAAAATCGTCCAACTTTCACTGTATTGCTCCAAACTGAAATCTGAAAACACTGCAGGGTCCATCTCGTCATGGGGAAGATTCTGTCTGTAGATCACTTTGCCGGAATCAGACGGACGCGCCCTCATGCGCCATCGCCGTCTTTCCCACGCGCCGCGTTGGCTGGCCATGCGCCAGCGACTTGTCACCCTTCCGGCTTCTTCTCCATCTGCACAGTCTATCGGTGGTGTCCGTTTCGCCAAAATCTTTTTGGTTTCACCAAAAAACGCCAAAACAGATCCGGCAGAAAATTGAAAAAATCGAACAGTTTCTGCCTCTGATTTTCAGACCCGTTTCTAACTACTTCCAGCCTGTTTTTAGCCCCAAAAATCACAGATTTATCAATAACACAAGCTCTGATACCATTTGTAGCGAAAATCCCTCGATAAATCTTGATTTCGGGCTCAGAAAACAATCAAACGAACACCGGTTTAACTTGACTCAACCCGAGACTTTCACCTTCACTTTGGGCTGCTCTCTTTCTCTCTATCCCCACAAAGGAGAAGGGTGGTGGTGTTAGCAATTCGCAAAGGTATGGGAAGGAAGAAGAACACTGGTTGAATCTTACTCACAACCTCACATGGCTTCCCTCTCTCTTGGTTGCCTCTCTTCTCTCAACTCTCATCTCCATTGCTACAACACACACACCACCACAAAAACGGTCGGGAGATAAATACATATATATAGGTTAGTTTAAGTCATTCTAATTGGGCCTAGGGTTCACTAAGCAGGCTACCAATTAACCTAAACTAATGGGCTAATATTCAACTCCATATTAATCACTAAATGGTCCAACTAACCAAATAATCATCCAACCCAAACCCGAACCATCCAAAAGTGTAGTTCATCTCCGAGTCGAGCCAAGTCCATGGTGTCGATAAATAATCCGACAACTGTTTTAAATTATCGCCCGAATTATTGGGTATCAAAAAACCCAACAGTACTCAAGACCAATTCTAATACTAGAAAGAAATGATCAAATGCTTTCAAAAATTTTAATATCTAAAAGTTAAAGTGTTTTATGACAATGATCTGTTGGTTCAATGGCAGATCCATTCATTCACCGCCATCTAGCATACTAACTTTCACCTACTATTATGGAGTTGATCAAGAAGGTCACAACAATTACAGCAATTCCAAATCTTCTGACCAGCTTCCGTGCTTTGACTAATCTTTTCAAAAGATTGTGCTTCCATGATTTGTTACAATTCCATCGTATGGAGGTTAATATCATTCTGAGATCTTTTAAGTGCTAGAGAAAAATGTAGAAGAGCAGAAAGTTTAGGTTTTGAATTGTATCCTATAACTTAGTATGCATTCATTTTACACATTCACTGCTTTGTGTATACTCATTTTGGAGTTTTTTATTTACTGATCTCGTAGATTCTCTACGCCTTTTCGAGTTTTTACCTGTCGTAGAACAAAAAAAAAAAAAAGTGCAATTGTCCTATGCTACGTTGAAGCTCAAGTAAGCTGCTGAGTGAATAATCTCTTTTCCCTCTTGATTTAAGGGCTTGAGTTGTTACCTTCTTTGAGCTCTACAGTTATGCTGTTCTTTTGATCGAGAAGAAGGTCAATCCCAAGTTCTATCGACAGCCTTAGAGGTATCTTTTCCATTGTTTCTCATTCCAGAAACCCGCGCACAGAAAAAGGCAAAGAAGATCTGCATTTATACATAGTACCACGACATCTAGCAAAACTTTGTTAATATTTCACAAGGCGGTGCTTATTTTTTTTGTATCCACAAATTGCTGAAGAGTGAAGAGGAAAGGTTAGAAACTGATTCAAGACTCGGGGCTTAGTGGTACGTCTTCTTTACTTGATCAGTTCTTGGACAATGGTTACCTTGAAGTAATTTCATTCATGCAAAAAGCATGTTTGACTAAGCTTTGCCTTAAAACTTACTTATTTCCAACTTCAACTAATAAAAAAATTATTTATTTTACAGCTTTGTTGTATACTTATAAGTGAACTTTTCAAGCTTAGCTGAAGTTGCTCCAAGTCATCTGATTTCACGTCATGAAAATCAAAGTTTTGGCATCAACCTTTGAAATTTTCACCTCTTTGGTTCTTTATCTTTGCTTATTCTGTTCCAAAAACAGATGCTTGAAGGTCTTGTGAGAAGAATAGAATTGGATTTTGTTATTGTGAGCATTGCTAAAGCATCAAAATCATCTAAAGATGCCAACATTGTCGAAGTTGGAGCTGATATTGAACTTGTGGCAAAGGAGATTTGAATGCACAAATTTGAGTAAACTCGCAGTTTCTTCTTGAACAAAATCAGTTATCGAGCTTCAAATGTTTCATTTTCCATTTCTGGTTGAAAATCTATGTTTTTTGTACCTTCCAAAGTTGGAAAATGGGGAAAAAGAGGTCTCTCGTGTGGAGTAGAAAGGAAAACAAACTGCAAATTTCTATGTTCTCTTTATTACAAATTTGGGGATAAATGATACGTAAAAGTGAAGCTGACTAGCGTTTCGAAACTTACTCACCATTTTTATTTCATTTTTACGATTATTTAATTTTCGAACTTGTGCGAGTCTTGAGTACCTTGTGATAATGTTGAGAATTTAATCATTTTGAGAAAAGAGCTGTGCTGTTTGACTAGGGTCAAATCCCGACCAAACAAATGCCCCTCCAATAGGAGGGTACCACATGGGTGCCCTGTTGTTTTGCTGGAATTTGATCCTGGCCAAACAGGTTTTTCCTTGAGAAAATTGTTCAATTTTCAATTTCAAGATTAAAGTACAAGTATACTTTATTAATTTGACTATTGGAATAATTTGTTATAATGTAAACAATCTTGATTATTAATTTACCCTACTGATTAGGTTTAATAACATTATTTATTTGTACATTCAAATGCACACATAATTTTAGATTTTTAACTAATTTGGTCAAGATTTTTATTAATTGGATGTCATGTCTTGATATTATTGGTATGCGATGTGCATTTTTTTAATGTTTTATTTAGTCAAATTTTTTTAGTAGAAAGAAATTATTTGTAACATATTTTAATTTGTTTTCAAATGTTTGATCAAGACTTTACGAAAATTACTTACGTTGGCTGCTGAGTTGACCCGTTAGTTCAAAATTTTCCAAAATATTAAATT